TTCCTGCCCAAGTTAGAGTCAAAATTCTGTAATGTTCAGGTTAAAGAGCCTGTCTAAGGTTAAGCCAAGTGCAAGAGGAGGATTCTCTTCTCCAGAACCTTGCTTTGGGAAGATTGTTTAATCCAGAAGATCCAGAGTGGCAGCTCTTTCCCAAAATTCATGAAAAAAAAATTACTGATCTCCGTATTTTGATTGACTCTCCCCAGGTAAATTTAGGATGAGAGTAGATTTGCATATCTGAGCACAGGAGTCTTTAAGAGAGGCAGAACTTTGGAAATACAGGTCATGTCCAGTGGCCTGGGAAACCACTAAAATAAAATGATGGCCCTTCTGTTTAGCTTTAACATTATCTCTTTACCTTTACCTCAGGATGATTCACATGGAGTCAAATGTTGCTATGTTTGATTGTTGTATTCAACTAATGATGCCTTCTTTGTCTTGTCAGTAAGATAAAGAGATTCCCCTAATGACCAAAAAAAATTTAATTACCTATATCAACTCTGATTAAGAAGGTGTTTTGGTATTTGTATTGCTGTTTGTTACTTGTCAAGTTCCCTAATAATGTCTTCATTTGTAGATTTTCTTGGAATAAAGATCCACAGTTCACAACAGCCTGTCTCTTCCCAGGATCAGTTCCTTTTTCATTTACATTTAATTTTTTTTTCATGCCATGTTTTCCGAGTGTTGTAATTAAAGTTTGTATGGAGTGGTTGGGTCAGATATAGCTGATACTCTTTCTCTAATGAAACAAGTGAAAGTGCACTGCAATCTAAACATTTTTGTAGACTGTACGTGGTCTCTTTTTGCTGGTACTTCATTTGTTGACTTTGTGCTGAAGCACATGCATAAAGAAGAAAAGAAAAAGGTAAAATAGAGTTGTTCTAGCACTCTACTTTTGTGCAAACAGACTGAGGGTGTCTTCAGAAAGGGAGCCCTTTGGGCCAGGTGGTTGGACAGTGTTAAGGTCCCATTCATCATTCCTTCTTTGCCCAGCTGACCATCTGTGGTGATGGGTCCCTGCTCTCTGTTCTGTATAATCAGCTCAGCAGAAGACTGTGATTCACTCAGTGTACTTTGTGCCATAAATTCTTTGAATTTTCCATTCTTACTGGGAATTTGGAAAACTTCAGATTCCTTTGATCACTTTGGTAAATCCTGAAATCGCCTTCTCCAGTCCTGATTCCCAGTGTAAAGGATTGTTTAATCCTTTTCATGCCCGGCCTGCCCCTTGACATAGCAAGTGGCAAGAGGGGAAGAAGTGAGGGAAGTAAAGGTCTCAGACTTTGAGGGAATCATGGAGAGAGGGAGGCCCTCACACTTTCTCTTCATTCCCCCAGTCCCTCATTCCCTGACTTTTGCCAACTCACTCGCTAGAGCAGAGAGTGCTGGAGAAAGGAACTACTGGACCCTTGAATCAAGCCTCCTGGGTGGCAGCAACACGGTAAAGAGTAATTGTTGGATTCCCAACAATTAGAGGGAAAAACAGCAGCATTTCCACTCCTGAATTCTTTGTCTGCCTAAGAACATTACTCAATGTCAGATCATCTCCAACATTTACGTAAGAAAGAAGCCTGATTAAGTAGAAGACTTGCATACCTCGAACCAACCTTCTGTGTTGCCAGGGAAAGAATTTGCCTCTGGTGATAATAAACAGAATACAGAACGTTCCTTTATTCAAAACTGTCCCCTCTACTTCTTTACCCTTCAACCTGATATTTATCTTAGAATTTACTAATTAACTGGTCAGTAGTAACCAAATGCTTGCTCTGTGCTATCATACTACATACTGTGGTTGAGTAGTGAACAAAACAAACCTCTTCACGTCTGTCCCCTGCCCCCAGCTCCCCACTTCTTAAAGTTTACATTCTGATCAGGGAGGACAGAAAATACACAAAAGAAAAAGTTAGTTATACGGTATGCTAGAAGTTAATTGTGAAGAAAAGTAGGAAAGGCTGGGGCAGGGGTAAGAGGGGAAGTTGCATTTTTTCAAAGGGAAATCAGGGAAGGTGACATTTAGGCAGAATCCTGAGATGAGGAGCAAATCATGTATATATCTGAGGGAAAATTGGTCCAGGAAGAAGGGAAAGCTATAAAATGCTGAGGCCATAGCATGCATGGAGTATTCAAGCAACAAGAAGCCGGAGTGGAGGGCACAGAGTGAGCAAGTAGGTGAAGAGAAGATGAAGTTAGAGAAATGGATGGATTGTGTAGGATCTTATAGACCATTGTCAGGACCTGTTTTTTTCTAGTGAGGTGTAGAGCCATTGAAAGGTTGTAAGCAGAAAAGTGGCATGCTCATAATTAGGCTTTAGAAGGATGATTTTGACGGTGATGATGAAAGAGTAACCTGCGGGTGAGCACGAGCATGGCAAAGGTAGAGGCAATGTCATCTTCCTGTAGACATAGTTGAGAAGCTATTGCAGTAATACAGGTGGGATACGATGGTAACTTGGACCAAAGTAGTAGCCGTGAGAGTGATGAGAAATGGTTAGATTCTGGATCCATGCTGAAATATTTCATGATGGCAGTACTTCATGATGGACTGGGTATGGGACATAAGTCAGGAAAGAAGTGGCTCCAAAGATTTAGACATAACATACTTAAAATAATAAAAGTCCAAAGATTGTGCTCTGAGCAACTCAAAGAATGGAGTTGATATTAACTGATTTAGGACAAACCTACAGGTAGAAAGTGTTACTGGAGAGGGGAAGGGAGGGAAAGTGGTTGGAAAATAAGAGAAACCTCTGCCTTGATAACACTATTGTGGATACATTTATCAGGCTAAGTTATATTTCATAAGTAAAATGAGAAAATTTAAAAAATTGATATGAGGAAGGGTAGGGGAGGGTAATTTAAGAGCATGGCTCTAGAGCCTGCACATAGTAATTGTCATCATAAGGGGAGATTTGACACAGTGGACAGCACATGGGTCCCCTGCCCATGAGACACCAAGGATGCTACTGACCTTGGATGACTCACTCATTCTCTTTGGATTTCCTTTAACTTTTTTGACTGCAAAATGAAGGCTCTTAATGTCTGTGAGGGATTCCTCTGGCATCTTCATGCCTAGAGACCCTGTAGAGGAGTGTGCAATAGAAGTTAAGAAAGAAACTATTTCACAGTTTTGCCCTCATTGATATACTACCACTCTAGGGCTTCACTGTGAAAAGGAGTCAGGGCCATTGTCTAGTTAACTAAATCAAGGCAGACAACCAAACTGGGTAATTTGATTTTTCAAATCTATTTTGGCATCTGTGTTATCAAGTTGGGCCATCTGTCTTGATGAGATTAAAAGGATGATTTTAGATCTCCTCATTTTGTGTGTCTATTACACACACTAGTGTTGCTTTTCAGAGAGTATTTGTGCTTGAAGATGTGCTACTAGGCACAAAGACAGGGAGTCTCTTGACATTTTGAAAAATACATTTTATGATGTGGTGTAATCACCTTTTGATGCCCTGTGGGATGTGATGAAATCTGTCTGGACCAGAAGTCAGAGGGTTCATCCCCAATATTGTGGCATGACCATCCTCTGGTATGAAGCATACACAAAGCTACACTGTCATCTTATCTGTTAGAATGTGTGATATGTGTTAACTGTGGGACAAATGAAACTGGGCATCCATCCACCGTGTGCTTTGGGCCTGTGAGTGTGCCACGTGTTTGTGACTGCTGTTAATTTTTCAGGTCTCCAAAATGTTGGCTTGAGGACTTTTCTTTGAAGCTATTTGTTAAGCTGTATGGGCTTGTGGGGGCAGATATGAAATCATTGTGTATTCTGCAGCACTGTTGAAGTCCACATTTCTCTAGTGCTCTGATGCTGACATTCCAAGCACACGGCAGTTATGCAAGCATCGATTTTTACCATGAATAGCGTGGGGGTTTGAGCAAGCACCTTGGTCAACAACCAGCTCTAGAGGAGATGTGAAACCCATTATTGATCCAGGGCTGAGAAATCAGTGACTGTTGTATTATATAATTATTGATGGAGCCAGAAGATGCCAGGGGCAAAGCACAACTTACTGTTTGTTATGCTGGATTGTCTCTCGTCCGAGTCAGGCCGCCGTGTTCCGCGCTTGTGTTCCCATACCATGTTTATTTATACCATGTACAGTTAGCTTTCGTATTTCTCTTGTGATTCCATCCTGGAAGAAAAATGAATACTGGTTTTCATTCAGGGGCTAGAAATGAAATAAGTTTTTCTAGAGACTTTAATGGGCCTAAGCTGAATACCAAAGTCTGGGCAGAGGGAAGATGGGGCTCCAAGAAAGACGATCAGAAGAGTGAAAAGAATCTCCTTCCGTGTCTCACTGGTCCACATTCCTTTTTCCTAGTGCATTACCGAAGTGATGGTACAAACTACAGGTGATTGGTGTGCTCTGGTGGTGGTGAATATTGACTAAGCACTTCCTATTGTAAGGTCATGTAGTAGGTCCCTAAGGAAGGGTTGGAGAAGAAAGAAATTGAAAAGATAACGTGGTTGTAACCCAGCAGCTGAATAAATAGCTCCTGTGCAGTACTTCATAATCCTTTGTTCATTTCTACTCACTGTTAGCTCCCCATCTTTCTTCCCTTCTTTCTCTTGGGTGTTCTTTGCTTTGCACTTATCAGCTACCTTACAGTTCCTAAATAAAAGACCAGCTTCTTTTATGATGAATGTATGTCTTTGATTCCACAGCCATATATCAAGTTCGTGAGCACAGAACAAATGTCTACTATAGACAGAAGGGCCTGCGAAGAAATCTTGACCACTATCTAGCTGGTTCAATTGATATATCTCTGGGCTACAGAGAAATGGGGAGGCCATGGACAGTGAAAAGCTACCAGCACTTACAGGTGTTACAGTTAACATTTGTCAGCTGGCTTCTGGTCACAAATGGTTAGGGGAAATTATTAAATTGCGTTGAAGGAGTCAATCAAATGCCTATTTAACTGATAGCTGCCAGTGAAATTAGGGAGTTTGAATATGTTAAAAGTATCTTGTAAAGAGTTAAAGAAGAGAGAATTCTGAGATGAAATTTAGTTATTTAAAATCAAACCACCTAAGCTTAAGGAAGTCTAAATTAGATACAGGGGAAATAATTTCCTCTCTTTGGGCTAACGATACTGGAGTCATAATAAAAATACACCTTTATCGGCATGAGTACTAAAAACCTTCACTTATGAAATGCACATGGAGAAATTCAAATTATTTATTCTGTAATAGCTCATTTGAAATTTCTTGGAAACAAAACTTAATAAATGGAGATTCCTCGATGCTAAATTCAGTGTTTTAATGTTCAGCTGTTAAAAGTGAGCTTTGGGGGATGAAAACCAGTTGCAGCTTCTGTCTGTGTTGCTTATGTATGGATAGCACACCACCACTGTGTAATTCCTGGAAACAGTCATCCTCATTAAAATGTGAACTCTGCATACATCTATGAATACTTGTGGGTTTTATGGGAACTCTTTCACTTCAGAAACCATAGAGATATCTTCAGCTTTTATTATGTGCATTTAACTATTTGCATGAATGTTATCTTATAAACACCCAGGCCTTAATCTTTAGTTCCTTGATTGCTTTCTGTTTTGCTGTCCTGAATTAACTATTGTGGGATTGTTGCTTTTGAAGCTTCCAAGATTAATTTTTCCTAGAGAGTAATTTTTTCTTTTATTCTGATACCAGAAATAAGAGAAAAAAATCTATAATAAAATGTTAAGAAATCACTAAAGCCTCTGTTTAAGTGAAGCAAAAAATATATAAATTTTTCCTTATAGATTGTAAGAAGCTGGGCAATGATAAAGGAAGAAGCAAATCAAATTGAATAACAACACATTCAAGAGATTTGCTAAGGAAAGCTTCTCTTAGTATAGTGGACCCAAGTGTTTAGAACTGATGATTAAGGTGAGATACTCTGTTGTATATACTCACTTTCAAAACTCAAAATCAAACCCACAGGCATAAGTTACTTGGTTATAAGCCATCTCTTCCCCCTCAATTATAATCTCAACCACAAAATATATGAAAGCTGACTTCAGTCAAACATTATTTGAGTAGTTTTTCCCTTTTCTGAGTACTCCATAAATTCTTTGTTGTATGTCTGTGTTAGTTTGGGTATCATGCAGGGTTTATCTGTGCATAAAGATGAATTTAGTGTAAGTGATTAAAACTCCCACAGTTGACTCATTATTAAAAAGTAACCTAACACTATTATAAGAAAGACGTTTTGGTCCTATTTCTAAGCTTTGTCAAATGCAAAAGGAAAAAATAATCAACATCTTAGAAAAGCAATTTGTCAGAGTTATTAATGAGGCAATTCTTTCTACATAAGGCATCATAGAAAAACTAATGAGAGAAAATGTGACAATAAATTGCAGACTACTTTAGATTGTGTGACATTCTTATTAATAAAACAGTCAACTTCAGTGGAAGAGATTGACTTTCTGTGCATTACAAATACAAATTTCATACTTTATGTGCATTATATACCATCATGCTCTTTTATCTTTAACCAGGGACAGAGTCAGTTTTTGTGGGCCCTGAGGTCTTTATAATTTTGGGATCTGTTCCCAAGAAGAATAATTTTAAAAATTGCTTTTGAAAAATTTACAAAAACTGTGAACATGTTGTTAGGCCTGTTCCAGGACCTTGGAAGGGGCTGTGCTAGTGAAGGGCCCTAAAATATAAGCTTCATTGGCTTTGTTATAAATCTTATTCCATCTTCATTCCCTTACTTACATTATCAGAAGTTAATTTTTAATATCAGATATTAATATCATTTAGCTATTAATTAGCCAATTAATTAATTCAACTGTGTGTTAATTGTATTAGGGTTACTCAAGTTGCTGTAGCAAATAGACACATTTCAATAGGCTGACATAATTAAAATTTATCAGGGATACACCTGAGAACAGAGTACCTGGATGTCAGCCACTCTCTAGTGACATATCTCTATCATGAAAGGGTAAACACATATCTCCTGAAGACTGAGAATCTCTGTCACAGTCTTCTTTCCCCCACCTTTAGGACCTACTGTGTATCAACTACTGCACTGGGTCCTGGGGGGAAAATACTTTATCTGACATAGACTCTATACTCAGTGCTAACAGTCTAATAATTGAGATGATATGTTTACAAATGGCTCTAATGTAAGGTAGAAGAATTAGTATATTCATGAGAGAATCCATATATTTGAAGAAGAATGATTGGACAATGCAATTTTTAATATTTTAGAAAACAGGTTCATGTATTTCACATGGTTGGCAGTTTCTTAATTCACTTAAAGCTTTATACTATAGGGGTTTTTGATTTATAATCCAGATTTAAAGCTTCTAGTATAAACAGACAGAATCGACAGCCAACAATGGGTGATGTTTTCCTATATTTTGGTTTACTGCTGCTATATATACTTCAAAGACATAAGGAATACGAGTTAGGCTAGTGAGAAGGGAAGGAGAGAAACCCCTTCATCTTCCTCATTCAGTTTTTTCATAATTTCCAGTTTCTCCTTTGGACCCTGCCTGTGGGATTTTAGAGCCATTTATGATGAACTACAGCAAATTACACTAAGTTATAAAGGAACATCTTAGAATGAAGTATTGAAACAGGCTTTGTAGAGGAAACATACAAGTTTTTAAGCAAAGATTTTTCATATCCCCTTTGTTTAGCCAAAGCAAACATGCCCTTGGACAAATAACAGAGTACTTACATAAAATCACACTGTTAAAGGTCCACACAGCAGTTCTTCCTCTTCTTGATTTTCAGTTCTCTCTCCATCAGATGCGTACAGAAGCCTGGGTTTGGAGTGGGTGCTTCCCTGACCAAATGTGCAGAAGCTCCTTGGCTAGGTCATGGTTATCTATGTGTGTTGGTTAACTGAGTTCACAACTAGTTGCTTGTTCAGAACACCTGGCTCCTCACAGATCACTCCAAACCTTGAGCAGACCCTGGAGGGAGGCAGGCTGGGGAAGTGAGCAGCATGGTCAGGGAGAGGAGGAGAGGAAGGGAGGTGACTGCTCACCAAACCTGGCTCTCACTATGGTCTTTATTGTGCATTTGGAATTTAAATCTTAGAATGGACATGACATATTGGTGCAACATGATGAGCATGAAATCTGTTGGGGGAAGCCCTGGCAACAGCTCATCCATGGAGATGGCATCTCCTTACTCTTAGGCGTTCTTAGTTATGGCCAAATTCCACCAAAGGTTTGAGAGATGTTGATATGTACCCCTCGGTTTGTTTTGGGCAAGGGGGAAGATGATGAATAGCATGGACAAAGTAGATTATATTCACTCAGCTGATTGAACTGAGATAAAGGGAAAAGCTCAAAGCTAAGTAGGAAGTGGAGTCAGTCGTCCAGCCTTTGTCCTTGGATCAAGGCATGTGGCAGGCAAGGAGTACTGGGATTAGGGTCTTGGAGCATAGCCTTTTGGGTAGTGTGTAGGCAGATGATTTCTGAATGGTAAGCCTCAGGTACTCCATACTCTGTACCCCAGTTAGTATTACAGCCCATTGGTAGACAGAAAAAAATCACCATTGGAAGACACTGGATTTGAGGGAGTAACATAGGCTTTGGATTCAGGCCTGGACTCAAATGCCTGTTGTGTCATTTAGTAGCAGTGTGACAATTGACACATTTCTTAACTTGGCTAGCCTTTGGTTTCCTTCTCTGTAAAATGAAATTAATGGTTCCAATCTTGAGAAAGATATTTGAGGATTAAATGAGTTAATGTGTTTGCACCTAGTGATGACTCAAAAGATAACAGCAGATATTTAAAACAGCTGTACACGGTTCTAAGAGATTTGAATACTCTGGTAAGGGAGACATTTTGGCTCCATTTAATTGGCTAGAATCAGTTCAGAGGCTTTAGGCAACTAAGTTCATACCATAAGAAAATGGCAGAACCAAGATTGTAAATCAAGAGTGCTTGACCCCAAATCCCACTTTTATTCCACCTCATCATGTTGGCTCCACAGGTACCAGCAGTGGAGTATGTTTCAAGGCTGTATGCAGCTCCTATGAATTCCTTAAAACAATTCTACAATTACTAATTCAGTGGAGAGTTGACACTCTTGGATATCCTTGCCAGCGTCTTGAATTTTCCAGGGGAAGTATTCTCTAGGGTCTCAGTATGGCAGTGAGCAGAAAGATTGCTGAAGACACAAATTCTGGTAGGATTTTGTGAGAAGAGCCAGGCGTGTCCTTGGATAACAGAGAAATGCAGCATCTAGATAAGGCTGGACTGGTGGCCTCTCTTGATGTTGCTCTGAGGGGCTTCCGCATTAATAGTGAGGTTTTATGAG